AGGTAAGCGTTTGCATGTATGAAGTTGCTCTGGTCTCTCTCTCTCTCTCTATAGTTGGATATGTCTACATCGCCGATGATTTATCGATGAAGGGCCTTGAGAATACGCGGAGTGGCACAGCCCCGACTCCCACCATCAAATTTCCGACCTGAGGCCCGGTGGCAGGTTTTGGCGGTTCTGGCGGGGCTCGTTTGGTGGCTGCCCTTCAGCAACTCGACTGCTGCCACAAAGTTGGCGCTGGCTTGGTACGGCCTGGCAGGCAGGCGTCGCACTTTTTGGCTGCCAAGGAATCCGGAACAAGCTTGCGAATGAGGAGATTGATTGATTTGGCCCAGTACTGGGCTCAATCGAACAATTGAATATATGACTCTCATGCGGCCAGCCGGCTTCCAAAAACCTAACGAAGCAGCCTGCAGGCGGCCCTTTAGTGACCTACTGCAGCACGTTGCTGAACCAGCACTGCAGCCCCAGCGGTGTGCAGCTGGCTGCGCCTGGGCAGTGCTGAAGAGCGAGTTGCTACGTGTGCACCACCAAAACGCCTCCGAGGGAAACTGTGCGGCGTGCGGATTCCCTTCACAAAGATTCCTTAGTGGATGAGGCGTAGAGCCCCAGAAAAGTGGCCAAGTGGAAGGTCCAGGATGAACGCCCTTTTCTACAAATTTGAGCATGTGGTGCATGCGTATTTGTCATCAGTCTAGGGCTGCAGTGCAGTGCAGGTCATCAACGTGGGCGGCAACTTCGGCGCCAGTGCAGGACACAAGCAGACCAAGAAGCCCTCAAACTTTCAATCACTTGATTTTGCAAAACAGCAAGGAGCCGCATGCACTGAGAATCAATTATATTTTTCATTGAAGTAGTCTTTATCATGGGTGTTAGGGTTTCCGTTTTAGGGGGGTACGCTTTGTGTCCGGCACAGCCTCCGGAGCCAAAAAAGGGGGCGTACGCTTTGGGGGAATGAGAGGGCATGGCACAAGACAAGGCTTTACGATGCTCTACATGCAATAGCACAGACACGCGTAATTTTATCAGGGTGTACCCCCCAAAAGCGATACAACATGATCATATTGCCGCTGAAGAGCCAGTGTTACAAGATGTGACTTGATATGCCAATAGCAATTTATGTCACGCCGGGAAGGCCAGTCCTGCATCCGGTGGCATAGTGGTGGCATGAGGACCCTTCATCGTTGGCATGCTGATGATCAAATCCGGGCAGAGGCCTCAGGAATCCTACCGGTCCCATGTCGTTTTCGTGCCAGGGTGGGTTTCTATCAGTTCTGGGGTCCAAGTCAGAGAGGCTTTCTGCCCCACCTACGTTTGGCTGGACAGCTACGAATTTAAGGTTGCAGCAGGTCTTTTAAGGGGCCACGGGTGCTCCTGCTTTGGGACCTGGCGGGTAGCACATCTAGCCCTAGAGAGAGAGAGGGAGAGAGAGACAGAGAGAGAGAGAGAGAGCGAGAGAGAGAGAGAGAGGGATGGAGAAAGGGGGAGAGAGGTGGATCTTAACAGTTGAGGCCAAGGGCTTTGCCCTGCAGCGTGAGCGGCGCTTTCCTGGCTGCACTGCTGGGGTTCGTTTTTGCATCGCTCCCACGTGGCTTGGATTGGGATGGGACGGCTGACAACATTTGTGAGCTCTACATGTTACGATTGCATGTGCACCTTACATAAGCAAGGAAGTAGGGCCTAACCAAAGTGTCACAACAAATTAAGACCCATGTGGGTCAGTTTCTAGGGACGCCTGGAGCCTAAGGCTGAATGAGGGCATTTTGTGGACTTCCCCAGGAAAGAGCCAATGAGGAGACTGAGAAACTGCTGCATGTCTCAGGGTGCATGACCATGCGGTCGTGACCATGCGGTCGAGTGCTTACGTAAGCAGTCATGAAAGCAGGGCTTTTCTGGCCGACAGCTTCGATTTTGGAACAAGATAACAATGCCCCTCCCCCCCAGTCAGGTCCCATGCGAGTGGATGGGAGTTAAGGTATGGACATCAAGCTAGGTCCAACAGAGCCTGAGTCCTCTTAAGGTGGTCAGGCAATTAATCGTTAGTTGGAGTAACCTCGAAGGGGCAGCAGAGGCCGCTCAAATAGCATTGTGTGGTGTGCTGTGATCATGAAGAAGAAGGGGCTCTTTTCAACATGTATCGACACAGCCTCGAATGCTGAATCCGAATACTAGTCTTGATGCGTAGCCCTCGATTTCCCTAACACCATGAATCTGAGTGCCACTCCTGGAAGGAAACAGCACGTCACACCAAGGACAGGCCAAGGGCGAGCCCTTGCTCGGCAATTGAGTTGACTTTCGACGGATCTCCATGGAGCCAGAATGAGTCAACTGACGCAAGCTTGGAATTCGCAAATGCGAGGCTGCCAGCCTCGTTTCAATGGGGGTGCAAGGCATCCTTGCTAACAAAGGTTTGGCTTCAGTTGGCGCAGTCGATGTGCCTTCTGAATCAGGATTGTCAATTGCCCCTGCTCTTGCAGTTGGTGGCCTCACAGAAGCATGGCGGCAGAGATTGAAAAGGCTAGAAGGGGGAGTTCAGCGGGGGATAGCAGGGCAGGCTTTGTGCATTTCGCGCAGGCTGAGTTCCTCACTTGCCCATTTTGCTGACAGATTCTGAGTCCCCTTTTAAGGTCGGACCATCTTCGGCGCCTGCAGAAAGCGCGCCTGCTGAGGGCTGGGGAGACGTTCCGGCACTCAGCTCGAAGCACCGTTCAGAGCATATGGCACACCCTGCACGCCTGCCGCTCTCTCTGAATGGGTGAAGATGCTGTGGGAGTTTGCAGCCATGCTTGCCGGCAAGCTTCTCAAAACCCCAAACTTGATTCAGCAGGTCGCTCTCAGCAGTACGCACCCACTCAATAAACCTAGGGATGAAATTTGACAGGCGAAAAACACACTGCAGTGTATGACAGGGTTCAAAAAGCAAGTTATTCAGAGGCACGGTTTCCCTTTTCAGGAAAACACTGGGAAAGGCTGTTGGAGATTCGTTTGCCAGCCAAGCATGCTGATGGCTGACGTTGCAGAGCGCCCTTTGAGCGGTGGCTTGGCTGGATAGGGCTTTGTTTGGGAACGAGACACGCTTACCTAAAGTCTTCAGGTCACGGCACTGCCCCGGGTTTAAGGTGCAAGGTGATGAAGGCGGAGGTGTACCCAAATTGAGGACACGGTTCGCATTTGCAAACATTATTCAGCCTAGTATTGGATTGGCTTTTGCTCCTTTTTTGCTTTGATATGCTCCTTGGCCCAACCCTAGGCGCATGAGGCGATGGGCCCTTCCGTGGTTGTCCCTCGCAGGCGGGGCTTCCGCTCGCTTCCAAAACGGCCCCCCTCCATCCCGCGGCAGGCGCTGCGCCCGCGCGCACCTTGGCGCCGGCCTGGCGCCCCAGCATGCGATGCAAATCGCCTGGCAAAGGTCACTATGGCTATGACATGCTCTGGGAAAGGGCGGAGCACCGTTGGTGGACGAACATCCCCACGAATGAAGATGTCAACCAAGTTAAAGATGCGGAAAGCGTAGTACGCATTCTGGTTGCAGGGAGTCCTGCTTCTGCGGGAGGACTGGGGAAGTTGGATAAATTGTGGTCAAGTCGGGTAGCGAAAGAGACGCGCTGGCGCAAGGCACGGCAGTTGGTCATCGACGTCCCAGTGCTGGACAGCTTGTCCGTAGTCCTCAGCCGAGGACTCAGCAGCGACGACCGTTCCGCAGCGTTGCTTATGAGTTCGTCCAGCAAAGTGCAGACACCACTCATGAGCTTCGCTGCTGTTTCTGAACGACAGTCGTTTGCTGGTGTTCCCTTGGTTAAGATTGTTTGGGGTCCATGCCTTGCCTGGATCCAGGTGCCTTGCGCCAATTCAACGGAGAATGCATGACAATGCCAGTATCTCATGGTCGATGTTTGATTTTCACATGGCTGTTGGCGGGCCAAGGCACTGGGGCCAAAGCGCCCCTGGCATGGAAGTACTTCGAGTTCACGCCGCCTGGGCGTGACTGGAAAGGAGCCAAAAGCAACGTGGGGGCCAGAGCTGGTCCTTTTCATTCTGGGTGAAGCCCAGGAGGAAGCAGGGGCAGCGGTTCTTTCCCAGCCCCCATTGAACGCCCAGATGGTGGCCAGCTGCAAGAGCTCTGGCAAAGACCTGTGCGACCGAGCATTCAGGTGCCTTTTGCAGCCCAGGTACTCACTGACCGTCCCTCAAGAAGCAATCGCTGCTGCTGTGCTGGCGGTTGTGCGGAACGGCTACGATGCAACTTGCCGAAATCGCTGAATAATGGGGGCATTCCGCCAATGTAGCCAGGCATGTTCCTGGGAAGAGTGTGTTTTGGCCTCCTTTGGCCATTTCTGATATATTGTTCAAATGCCAAGTGCCATCCAGGGGCGAAAACTGATTGAAGATGACGGCAGGTAATGATGCAGCTCTTCCGCCCGGAGGAAAACTTCAGAGAGGTGCTTCAATCTGGACAGACCTCGGCCTATGCCGACGTCCCTACAGAGGAGGCCTCCTATCAAAGCCGCATGTTGCAGCCCATTCTCTCGAGTGTGATGTGGCCTAGATACTGTGACCAATCCAACTACTGTGCTGCATGCGTTCCGTCCTCGCACAGGCCTCATAATGTGTCCAGCTTTCAGCAGCGCAGCATGTGTTCGATTGTGGACACATGACCCCTCTTGAACTCTTTGCCCATGCGTGCTTTGCTCCTCAGGGGGTCTCTGTACAGTGGGCAATTCCAAGATCGTGTTATGTATGAATATATGCGTAATATGATTTTGCAGCAAGGCATAGGACGGCCCGAGCACAGTGGTGCAGTGAAGCTTGGCAGGCTGCTCAGCTCATTCTGGAGGTGGGCTACGGGACACGCAGCACCAACTACACGCAACTTGACAAAGTAAGCTGCAGCCCATGACGCACGCCCTAAATTCAAGCATTCCATTTGGGGAGAATAGACCCGCCTCACTTGGCGGAGCTTCGCGACCTCATGAAGGGGTCCCGTACTTCAGCTTGGCCAATCATTAACAATTTGCCGGGGCTGTTGAAAGAAAAGGCCCATGGCAAATGGCTGCATTCGTATTTTTTGTGGTGAATTAGCAAGATGCTGTTCCGCTCCAAGTGTGACGCTGCACAACTGCTGCCTCCACTTGCAGCCGTGAGTGAGGATATTGGTTATTCGGTCGACAATCACATCTGATTTCAAGTTCAAGCCACTTGCCAGCACTGGGTTGAAGCTCGCTCGTTTTCTTGTGACCGTGATATAGTCACTGAAGCTGCTCGCTCACATAGTTCGTCCAACTATAACAGAATAAGAAGCTAACATGAAGCTAACCTGAGAGAGCTTCCTAGAAGGCCTACGATCTCCACCATAGCCGGAGCCAAGAGAAAGCGCCATGCAATTTGGAGTTTGAATAGCCAGGTTTGCTTTTGGAAGCACTGTGTCAGGGCTTGGCACATTGTGAACTTGGGCAGCTTCCAAGGTTCCCAGACCCTGCAGAGTCGGTGCCGCCACAGGGAACTCTGACAGGCCTCGCCGTGTTTGACGGGTTTGGCGAGCCTTTGCCGATGGAGCCGATATACTTTGCCACTCAGCCTTTGGATACGTTTGGCTGTTGATCACGACCTCGGATTCATCATCCTGGTGGGTTATCAGGGCGGCGTTTTTTGTTTTTTTCAAAGGGGTCCCCCTGCGCATTTTCTCTAATGAAATTGGCGAAGTTGACGCCTACAAATGGTTTTGGAGAAGAGAAAGAAACGGGTTTTGCTTGATTGGGTCTGTTTTGCTGTTTTTGCCGCATTTTTTCCTATGACATGGGTTCTGGAAAACGCATGCATGTTGTAGAGGCTATATGTCTCGTGATTTCTTTGCGGGCCAGGTTGAAGGGTTGGGTTTGGTTTGAAGCTATTTTTGCTATTATGTTTTGTATCATGCTTATTATATCATTTACATTTGGGCCGCTTCTTCAGAGAGTAGTGCCAATTTGAAGCATTGAATGCCAGAAACTGCCGTTTTGTATTCGGTTCCTGCTCATGTGGCCACAGAACAAAGAAGAGAGATAAGGACAAGAGGTATGTTTTGGGGACCCGTGAATATCTGCGGGCGCCCTTTTCGTTGCCCTGCTCAGTCAAGACCCTTTGGACGCAGCGCCAGAGAGAGAGAGAGAGAGAGAGAGAGAGAGAGAGAGAGAGAGAGAGAGAGAGAGAGAGAGCGAGAGAGAGAGAGAGAGAACGAGGGATTGCTAGATGTGGGTAGCGCTTGGACCACGGCCAGTTTAGCTGATAGCCCGCCCACTGCAACACAAACTTTGGACTTCAGAGGTGGCCCCAGTGACATAGCTTATGTTACAGTGGCAGCAGTTTGTAATGACCGCTCTGCTCACCAAAAAGCAACTAGAACCACGGGTGGCCCTGGAAAGTGAGCGTTGATTTTGCGCACGTGTGTTTGTTTCCCCTTTCATGGGCATGTGGCAGCCGCAGATTTTTACAGCCCGTCGTGCAGCTCAGATGTAAAAATGATGTAAATGACTGCTCAGAAGTCTCTGCACAGACTGCCCATAGCCATGCCAGAGCTTTTCCGTACACGCGTTTATGCATGTCCTTCTGCGACTGATAAGTTTCGGTGTTGCGAGCTCTGCTGCGCAAGTTCTTTGCGCGCAGCGCTGACCACAACACGGGCTCCCATATACACAGCCGATTTGATATTGCATGAATTTTTTACGGAAATACGTATTGCCCACAAACTGTTCGCTTTCCGGGTGAAGGCCTTCTTCAATCTTCTTCACCAAGCATTCATTAGTTGCCAGAATCAAGGCACCTCTTACGCAAGACCAACTAGATTAAACTAGGCCACATTGCGAGCTCTTTTGGAAAAAGGTCTGACTTTGGAGCCCAGGACCCTCGACGCAGCCAGTACTTGGCCTTTGCCTCTCCAAACACAGGAGGCCGCGCTGTGACTTACAGGGTGCAGGGCAGGGTAAGGCACAGCAAGGCACAGAAAGACAGGTGAGCCATGATGAAATTCCCGGGTCGAAGGCAAAGGCTTGTGGACACTGCCAGACATACTTCTTGGACTAGGTGCGGTGTTGAAACATTTCAGGTATGGAAGCCGTTTTCCCTGCAATCCAAATTGGGACACAGGCATTTGCCTGACCAGGCGGCTATGCACAAGTTCGGGCGGTTGCTTCGAAGAACGATCCCTTCGCTTCGCTCCAGCTCCGAGTGGATGGCACGGACTGGGAGGGCATTGAGTCCGGCATCCGCACAAGGCGCCATGCTCGCACAAAGGCAGCTGACTTGCGAGCTCGGGGCTTCAAGGGATGGCCGATCCTTCAGTAGATGTATTAGGGCATGGCCCACTGGCCCATGTAAGGAGTTTTGACCAAGGGACACATGGCGTATGCGTCACCTCATGTCATCCACTTACCCCAAAGAGCATCCAACCAAGCAACAAACAACTGTCAGGCATGTGTCCCCCTACACCCTGACGGATTTTGTAGCATGGCAAACCTAGGCACAATGCTTTGGTGTTTTTTTTTTGAACCAGAGGAAACTGCCCCGAGACGTTCCTCAGCAAGCCATGCGTCCGAGGTACATCCCGGTGCCGGTGAAGACGTGGCTGCAGCTGGAAGTGCAGGTGCTGTCGCCCACGGCCGAGGCTGCTGGTGCAGCCCCAGTGGTGCCCTGGCATCCTGACCAAAGGCTGGAAGCCAAAGCAAGCATCACGAACGTGGCCCTCAAGAAAAGAGCTGTTTTTGTCATCCATGGATAAGTGTTTGGGGTTTCATCTCAGTTGTCGGATGACTTCCATGAGCCTTTGGGAGGCACCTTAAGGAAAGGACCAGCCGGGATGGCTACGAGCTGAGTTCCCTCGGAAGTCGCTTGTTCCGTCGGGCACGTGCCTTCCGGACCAAGGCCTACCAGCTGCTGATCAGCCGCGAGGTGCGGTGCCACCTGCTGTGCCGCACCTGCTATGGGCCAGAGGCCTCCCACTGCCTCTCCTGCCGAGCGCCCCTGGTGCTGAACAACGGCTCTTGCAGCGAGACTGCAGCTTGCTCAGAGATGCAAGCCAAATTGGGGCACGATCATCCGGGAAGATGTGGGATGACAAAACCTAGGAAGCATGGTTTTGCTTTATCCCAGCTGTTTGTTTGTTTGGCCATGTTGGAGTTTGGTGCGTGTTTGCTTTTTGCGTGTTGTGAGAGCGGGCCATGTTAACTTCTTGCGGCTTGCCAAGGCCTGTCCACCGACCAAGTATTATGACTGGACGCTTGGACTTCGGCTTTGAGCGGCCCTTGGAGCAGATTGACTGGGGTCTTGTCCAAATCGCCCTGCAATGAGACGGGTCAACATCATGTCAGCCCTTCACATTTTGCTGTCGCCCATTGCAACGATCTTTGCATCGTGCTGTAAACCTTGTAGATGCGGAAATCGCATTTCGCGACTTATGAAATTTGTGGGGCCCTCCGCCATTGGCGATCTCCAACAAAAACGCAAGGAAACAAATTTGTCACGGAGTTCCCTGCGTCGGACGCCCGTGCCGCGCTGAGGATGACCTACCAATGTCAGCCATGCCATGAGACTTGTGCGCAGTGCTCAGGCAGTTTGCCGCTGGGGTTGGGGGTGGGGATGCGGGGATGGCTTTTTGGCCCTCAGATGAGCTTTTTGTATGGTTTTCAGAAAAATGCGGGGGTCATTTGAGAGGGGGTGGCCAGGTCCCGGGGCGGGAGCCTGCACGGAGTGCCCGGCCTTGAACCTTGCCTGGAAATTGGGTTCTGCGTCCGGGGATGTGTCATGAGCTGATGCGTGTTGGCATGACTGCATGTGCTGCTTGTTGGACCAGACCAGGGTGTTTGAGTGAATGTGATGTGTTTCGGACACATGTTGTTGGATAGACGATGTGTGGCGGGCGTTTGGACCGACAATGTTGCATAATAATGTTGGGCCCTGTTTAGGACGATGCTTTAGAGAGTCAAAATAAGCGTTAAGAGAAAGCGATTTGCACCGTTTCGCCTCATGCTGCGTGCGTTTGGTTCCCTGTGAGTTCACCATGAAATGGTACTCATTTTTGTGGCTCAGGTTCTTCCTGTCTCCCTTTGCCTGGGAGTCAGAGGCCCCCTGCGTGATCCGCTGCCCCACGGGTCAGTTCGCCCACCCACGGAGCCGACGGTGCCGCCAGCGTACTGCGCCGGTGAAGAGCTTCTACATGCAGTTCCAATTCCGGAGCACCTTCCAGGCCGGCAAGATCGCGGTTTCTTGAGAGTGCCATGGGCCCTTGTGGGAAGCCAAAGGAACACCAACATTCGGTCTTTGGGGGCTCCCTAATATGTTGCATACCCATTTGGTTGAGTTGTCGCAATTGTTCAAGGAGGGTTGGCTTTTAGACAGTTTCTTTGGGGCGATTGGTTTTGCCTTTGTCTACCTCAATTGGCCACCTTTTTTAACATAGAAAGGAGAAGGAGACAGACACGGACAAACTAGTTTAAACTACTCTCTTCTCTGAAAACACTTCCATTTTAAGAAGAATCTCCTTTGGGGAACCTCCTTGAGGTTTCATGTCAATTACTTTTGACCGAAGGCCGGCCTCAGTCATGGTGCTTTCCTTTTTGAGGGAGCTGCCCAGACGGGAGAACGAGCCCCCTTTGCTGCAGGCAGCCCTCCTTAGCTCTCCTAGGCGGTGCTTGTTTGTTGTTCGGGGGTGGGGTGCGGACCTAGGCATCAGCTCCAAATTTTCGGCTCGTCACGGTAGCCTGACCTCGGCTCTGGCCTTGTGGACGCTTCTTATGTTGGAAACAAACATGAATCTGATACAATGCTGTTTGGCGACGGCTTCGACTGCAGCCATCCACATGTCAGGCGTTTGCCGCCGATGCCATGATCCAAGCGGCCGGACTCGAGATGTGCTATGTGCCATGTTCGGTTCATCCCAAATCTTAAATTAGTCCTGCTACAGGTGTGCAGCCCGCTTGACTTTGATTGTGCAATGCGATGTGTAATGCAATAAAACATGCTGGAAACTGACAGGACCCCATTGGCACACTCTTCCTTTTCAAGCGAAACCTTTGCCTTTCTATGCTACTTGTCAGGGCGCAACGCATTAGGCAGCCAATGGCAAACCCACAGTTCTGTAAGATTATATAAGCACAATCATAAGCCGTAAAAAATGCTCACGTCAGTTGCAGAGTGGACAAGGCAGCTTGCAGATAACACCTAGCCCCTACACTGATAAGCTGTGCAGACGTAGCAGGTATGCAATCGGATTGAAACTAGAGCGCTATGGGTGCTTCACAAAGTAGCGCGCTTCTTAAAATGATTGGTGTCATCTTGTTTCCCTTTGCGCGCTATGCCAAAATGAATGCGGGCGCCATTTATCAGGACAATACCGGATTTGTTGAAGGCAGATTGTATAAACAACGGCCCATCTTAGCACCAGTGATCATTGTGGGCCCGGACGGTTTTGGTGGAATCGACAGGCGGTAGCAGAATCAATTGACGTCAGCATCTGGTGAATGCTTGTTTCGGTGTGCGTGGGCACGCTTTTCAGTTCGCCTGCGCAAGCCGGAGGCACCAGGAGTCAAGGAGTCCATACATTGGAATGTGGGTTGCTCGAAATTTGATCCTTATGCCAGATGGTAGCGGCTTTTCAGGACTCGGCATCCCCTCATGGCCGAGAGTGCTAGGGAGAGAGGGCCAGGGATCGGCATCCTCCCATTTTCACCACCCGGTTTGCCGGTTCATTGCTTCTAAGGAGTCGGTGGTCAACACCACGGCCTTTGTCCTGGGCCTGGCGTTGTCAGATGTGAGGGCCTACAAGATGGAACTAGTGGAGGATGGGAGCTCCCTTTCAAAGGTGGCACCCCTGGGGCACAAGGTTCACTTTTTTGGGCCTCATCTCGAACTGAGCTTTCCGTTCGCAGGGAGTCCAACGCCCCTGGCGTTGCCCCCTCCCCAGTGGAACCGTCTCATGTCCAAGAGGAACACGAACTCTGTTTTGTGTCATGGGGCGCAATTCAAGGCCAAACGCAAAGCCGGAGGACTTGTGGAGAAGCTACGCTGGGTCCAAAGTAGATGGCGCAATTCCTGGCAAGCTTGCAGATCCTGACAGTTTGCAGGCCCGTCGGGCCGGTTGCAGCTCTGATGGCCCCTTGTCAGGAGCAGAATGGCGTTGTGCTTGAAGATGGCCCTCCTCTGCTCACCGTGGAAGTGGTTTCTCCGTTCCTCTTGAAGGCTGGGGAACTTACAGCAAACTGCATCAGATTGTCAATAGTGTAGTGCTAACGCCAATGGTGCTTGCAAGGAGAGGCGAGGAGCAGGAGTCCAGAGCATTTTTATTGTAGTGGCATATGCGACCAAAACGGGCAGCGGAAGCTGCATGCAGGCAGAGGCAGATGCAATCTTAATCGACTCCTGGTTCGGTGCGTTTGAAGTTCCCGTGGACGAGGCCAGGGCAAAGTCATGCAAGTGACATCGCCCACAATGGAAGTTACATATTGCGGGAGCTAGGGTCAACGATTGGTTCCAGGGCATCATTGAGCTTCCTTCGGGCTGAATTAGGATGACTTTGATTTCTACTTTTACATGCTGAGGGCTGTGGATGCCTTGCCACATTGTGTGATGTGTTCTTGAATGAGCCAAGGTGACCTCACCTCTGTCTAACCTTTGTTTTTGCGTTGCCAGGTGAGAAGCCTAAGCTGGGATCAGATGCATCCACCTCTACCGCCCTTACCGGTGGACCCTTTTTTGCCCACTTGGGTTTGGGGCTTGGCCACTTCAGCGGCTTCGGGCATCGTTGTGCTGGTGCCCATGTACCTCGGATGCTTCGATCAAAAAGCTACCATCGAGCAAAATGCCCGGGTCAACGCCGGGTCAACGCCGGGTGCGCCACAGCGTGTATTTCATCTATATGTTGTTTCCAGGAACTGTGGCTGCAGGTGAGATGTCCGATTCAGCAAATGTTTCCTTTGGGTCCAAGCTGGGAGATCCAAGCGCCTTTGTTCCAACCATTAGATCATGGTGGTCTTGAGTGTAAACACCTTGCCCTTCGCCTGTGAACCGCAGGGGTTGTGTTGTTGTGCAAATCCCAATTGAGTAGGTCCACACATGGAAGGCAACAAAGCGCTCCCTGCCCCATAGCACAGCCATGCTTTCCATTGAGTCTCCTCACCCTTCCCCAGCACTTTGCATGTGATGTTTTGTGGTTCGGCCCCATTTGCTTTTTGTTGATGTGGAAGTTGGCACTCTGTTGCCGACCGCCGGAGCTGTTAAGGTTTTCCTGAGGGTCCTTCGTTGGAGGGCGCCGACATCGGAGAACACCCTCGGAACCGGCCTCACACAAAAAACTTGGCCCACACAAAAACAACGAAACTGAAACAATTCGAGAATTCAACATCCGCCCAGGTACTGCTGCTACTTCCGTCGTTTGGCGAACACCCGGCGCAAGTACCGGCCCGCCGCAGTGGACCCCGCCTTCATGGAGCGCGTGGTGGCACAGTCGGACCCACAGCTGGTGCGCCGTTTTGTGGCTGGGGAGAACGGTGCGCGCCTGCTGCAGGACTGGGCTTGGCCGCCTTGGCCGCCTTTGCTAAGAAATGGGTTTATAAATTATGAACCTAAATTGGCCTGGGGCTACTGGGCCTAAAGGTTCAGCCGGTGTTTTGCTGGATTGAATGTTGGAAATGTTAGAATATCATAGCCCCGGGCAAAAGACCTGCAAATTGAGTTGGCCCGCCTCCCACTCATGGACATGAGCCTTTTGAAGGTTTTGTTTTTCAGGCAGTATGTCAAACCAAGGCTGTGCTAGTTAGGCAAGTCTCAAGAATAATCGTCCAAAGCCATATCTCCGTATTTATTTGGATGCTGCTAGTTCAGCCGTGGCTTTCCGTGAGCTGCGTGCCGGATGTGTCGAGCACATGCTCGTTTGCTCAGAAGGGATGCCATAGCATGGCTAGCCAAGAGAAGCCCCGGCATGATGCAAACTGCTTTCAGAAGCGGGGCACGGACGTCTAATCATTGGTTCTGATCCCTCGCTGCTCCTCATTCATCACATTTCATTACGCGTTGTTTTCACCTGGCCTGTCATAGCGTGAGTGACAAAGTGAGGCGGTGCAATAACTTTGGGATGTGGGCAACTCAGCCAAAGCCATGTCGCAGGAGGCGGATTGAGCCTAGGCTAGTGCAGGCTTTTCGAGGCGCTGGGCCGCGGTGGCTCCAAGGCAATCAAGAAGGGTTGACTCGAGCTGGAGGAGCTTTCGGAGCTGGCTGACAGCTGCCGGCCCCAAATTGGCGCGGATCAGAACAAAGTGGGATGTGCGGCTTTTCCTTCGGCCGCCCAGGTGCGTGAGGGAAAAATCTTTGACTGGTGCCTGTCTTGCTCGCGTCAGCTGAAGTCTTGGCTGAAGTCTTGGCTGAAGACTTGGAAGCTGAGGGCGGCCCTGGCGAACGCCTGCAATGTCTCTTTGCCCCAGCTGCCGCTTGCCATGGATATGCTTGGGCTGGGCAAGTGGGATTTGAATGGCCATGAAGGTCGATGAGTAAATGTCCAACTGGAGATTTCCAAGGCCAGCCGGATCCAGCTTAGGGGAGATGTATTGGAATCAAGTCACTCTTATGGTCCCATGTAGAGCTGATACATCTGTGTGGTGGCTGAGGAAGATAAAAGCGGATTCCTTCATCTCAGACTACACATGCTCCGATCTTGGTCTCGACCGTAAGCCTAGCGGATTGACTGAACAGTCACGTGGCCAACATTTGACCAAGGTGCCGCTGAAGGACTTTTTACCTAGCGCCGGAGGGCCAAAGGCATGCCCGGACAATTTGTTGCAGTCATCAATGTGAGATGCTAAGGCTCAATTGCATGAAGCACTGGTTGCAAGGGAAACAATGTCTACAGGAAAGTGGACTTCAACGCGACCACAAAACTTGACATGGGCGCACCACGCCAGAGTAACACATTGTGCAAAGACCAATTCGGCGAGAATCCCACCAAGTGAGCTACGCGCATACAGCATTGAGGCGAAGCCCTTTTGATGACTGCCACAGTCGGCCTGTGCACCACTCATTTGCTTGCACGGGTTTTTGGTAGGTGGCCTGACCGTTGAAATCCCAATGCAGGATTCCAACACAGACCGGGGCCTGATGCACACGTTTTGTCTCCCCTTTGCCACAGACAAACCCACAGCCACGAGAGAGAGGAACTCAGCTGACCTCGTTTTGAAATGCTGATCACCCAAGCGAGCCTGCTCAGACAGCGCAGCACTAAGCAAACACAGGACCTTGGCGCACGTATCCTGTATCCTGCTGTGTTTGTGCATGCCCGAAGTCAAGGTTCTGATAGTTTGATACGCGCTAGCTGTTTCAACATTGAAGGTCTTGAAGTCGCTTTGGACGCTGCCTCCTGAGCATGGTTGATGTTTTTGTTGATGAGTTTCCCCACGCAACCCATGCTGAGCGCAAGTGTGCTTTGGAGCTGCTGGGGTGCTTGAAACACCCCTTGAATACCATGGCGTCCCTTTGGGAGTGCTCCGGCCTCGAAATGCTTTGCGGTCCAGCCGTTGTTGGACCAACTGAAATTGGTCGGGTGCGAGGGTGGTTTGGACGGCTCTGGCTGCATTCACAAAAAGCCCATCTCCAGTATGACAACATGTTCGAGCCAAGCCACCTTTTTGAAGTTGCTTGCTTGCCTTTGTAGGTAGCAAAATGGCCCTGAGCGCTGCGCACAGGTCCGGCATACGGTTCTGGCTTTGCGTGGGCCTGACCCATGTCGAACCTTGCCCCTTTTTTGCTCGGCCATGACCTGATCCCGCAGCCATACCCGAGCAAGGCAGGTGGATGCCAATCAAAGAGGCCACTGCGATCCCATGGTTTGGCCGACTGTGCAGCCTTGGAAAAGTCGCGAGTGGCCACGAGTTTTTGCAATGTCTCCTTAGCCTTTGTTGTGCTACATAGTTTGCTCGGGGCACATGGGCTTCACTTTTCGTGGGGCACCTCTATTCCGACTTCGGCTACTTCTCGGATGAAGGCTGGTACTACTTCAGGTACCTCACCAAGGCATTGATTCTTCAAACGATCTCCGAGTGCATGTTGTTTGGCCTGGCAATTCGGGGCAATTGTTCTTCAGCACCGCTGTGGGACGAGGTCTCAAGAATTGTGACCTTCAATGATCCTTGTCTGAGATTGTGGCTGGGGGCGGGCAATAATTAGAAATCCGCAATTTGGCAATGCAGATTCTTGGGTTTATCCACACAGGAGCTTCGCCAAAAGCCTGGTGGCTACATGGGGGTCCGGCTCAACACATGAAATCCCAAGTATATGTTTGCGGTACAGCTGAGTTCGGCTTCCTGCCAGCAATATGTTTGCCAACGCTTTGCCGAGTTGCCTGTCTGTGACAGCGGGTCAACAAATTGAGAGTTAGAGTCCTCTTCGCTAGAGCAAGATGACATGCGATTTTGTCCCTTGCATCTGCGAAAGCCAGCCCTTGGCCAATTCATTCGTGTCAAGAGCTGCTAGAATGCCGTCACATATTTGCTCCAACCTTTTGCAGCTTGGCGCCTCGCATCAAAGAAAGGAAATGGGAGAAACGTTGCAACTTGATGCAGCAGTGCCGCACGAACAACGGGACCGGCTCGCTTGCACACCGCCAACCAGGTGAACATAATATGGCCTTTGGACGATCCACTTTTGGACGAAGAATGTGAGGAGTATCCACAGAAACCGAGTTACTGCGAGTGTTAGACATGTTCTCAAATGTTTCGCTGTCGACATTCACTTGAAGCAGTTGGGAGGCCCTTCGTGCTGGATGCTCCACAGCTACCCCACAAGAAACAAACAGTTTCGTGGAAATTTGGCGAAACACTTTGCAAAGATCAGGTGGCATACAACAAAACGAGGTCAGGAACCTTCAGGCTGCCTCAGTCAAGGCTGGAAACTTACTACTAGTTACTAGCCAGCTAGCTCAGTGCCAGAGGAGTCAATTTTCAAGCCTGCAGGTTTGCAGAAATCAGCCAGCATCCAATCTGCAGCACCCGCGACAGGCGTCCTTTTTCTTATACTGGGGATTTAGCTTTAGGGAATTATTCATTGAGCGCGTAAACCCATTTGCCCCAAAAGCCGAGGATTATCGGGAATGCCCGCACAGGAATGGCTGCTATGCTTCCAGGAGTGTGCCATCTACAGTTCTGCCTTTGACCCCGGCAGTATCCATTGTTTGCGGGCGTGGGCCTCTCATGTAGCTGGTGCTGGCTTCCTTCAAGCCAATGGTGCGACCATGTTTTTGCTATTCGCGAGTCCCGTGTACACGGATCTCAGGTTGCCTCAGAGTCGATACAAGATCAAGGTGGAGCGGTGGATGGAGAACATGTCAGACGATGAGAAGGTGCCAACGAAGGCCTCAGACAAACGAGGCTGCTCTAGTTCTTTTGTGCGCGCGAGGCTTTGGCACTTTCTTTTGGTGGCCATTCATGCGAGAGTGCTGCACAGACAGAGCGTGTGGCATGAACGTTGAAGCCACAATTGCACTTTGTCAACGCACTTGTCCAAAGCTTCCACAACAGAATCTGAGGCAAGAAAAAATAGCATGGCGCACTGCTCGAGCATTGTGCAATTGCGGTCGGGCAGCCAGAAAGCCACCCTGAAGTTTTATAGTTTACCAAAGTTTCTATGCAAGGGCTTCCGCACTGGGCTGCTTGAAAGGGACTTCAGCAAGTATGCTTGTACTGAGTTTCCGTACAAAACCTTTTTGGGCCTGCTCCCAACACTTGGCTGCGTTGCACTGTGCTTTCTTTTTTCGAGGCAATTTGTTGAGGTAGGAGGGTTTGAACTCTTTTCTCGAATGCCACGCACTTGGTGGGGAGATGAGAGGCCCAAGCAAGCCGGCCGGATCCGTTGATCTAGCGCCATGGTGTTCTCAACAACAGTGCAGCCATGTGAAGATTCCGAATGGCCCAAAGTGGTGGCGACTTCTCCGTGGATGCGGCCCTCTTTCTATTTGGTCTTTCGCGGAGTCTGGGCAGCCGTGTTCTTGGGGCATCTCATTGCACACATTGCAAGCCACGATGAAGGCGGGAACCCACACAAACATGTGCCCAAACCGAGCGCTTGATAGCAAGTCCCTTGCACCCTGGATGAAGGCGCCTACTACCTGATCTACCTCACCACCTGGGCGCTGATCACGCAGACCATATCTGAGATGTTGCTATTTAGTTTGGCCATCTTGGGTTACCGGCGCCTGTCGGGTCCGCCGCCTGAAAAACTCCCGGTGGCGGTACGGATAGAGGTGGCTCTTTGGAGTGCCGTCCATCCAGTTGCAGTGATCCTTGCCTTATTGGGCTGCAAGCAACTACGTGTTTCTTTGATACTAAGCGCGCGCACTCCTGCATGCGTGACTTATTCGAACGCACGGATATTGTTCAGGTTGTTGCTGTTTGCTGCACTGGCCTCGATTGGTCACAACGCTGCACCAGCTGAGGGTGGTATGGTTGCTGCAATTTGGCTGCAAGTAGCATTGCAGAAAACCTGCCGACAGTGA